CCTAAAAAAAAATAAACAACATCCCCCCCCCCCCCCCCCAAAAAACCATGAACACAATCAAACAAAAACCAAAAAACAAAATTAGCTGTTCACCAAAATATGTATATACTGCAAGGGGGGAAAAAGAATGAATGAATAAATAAATCCCATCTAATTGTAATATTAGTAATTTATATGTAGGATTCCCACATCCTAGCTCTCAGAAGACATATCCTCCCATATATCTTCACCCCTGCTACAACACACGTACAAAGCTCATGGGTCTCAAGAACGCCTATCTCCTGAAAATATATTTTTAGTGTAACAAATATATAGAGATTTTTTTTCCCTAGACAGAGTCTCACTGTATAACCATGTTTGACCTGGAAGTCATTAGATGGATCAGGTTGGCCTTGAGCTCACAAAGATCCATCTACCTCTGTCTCCTGAGTACTAGGCCTAAAGAGGTGTATACCACATCAGACCTGAATTGTTCTTTTTCTTAAAGATAAGATAGTTGCATATAAATGAAATAGACAACTACAGTTTTTTGTTTGTGTTCCTGGTTTATGTTGTTTTGTTTTGCTATTAGCCCTGGTTGTCCTGGAACTTAGTATATAGACCAGGTTGGCCTGGAGCTCACAGAGATCTGCATGCACCATCAAGCCTAGCCCTGATAACTAGTTTATAATGACAACCTCAAGTGAACTTTAAAAGAATATCAGTTCAGTATTAATTACTTGCCTTCCTTGATCACATTCTCCTTTAGGGCTACAAAAGGATCAATCCATAAATTGAAGTTTGCACCTTGCTATATAAACTGGCTAAATACATTTTTTACATTTTTTAATGGACAAGCCTTAAAGTGTTTACTCATCTATGTTATATCAAAGAAGAAATGAAATGGAATTTTCCCATTTTTTAATCAGTTATCTGATCATTGATGTCAAGCTGCATTCTATTTGTAAATAAAATATTCTCCTCTCCAAGTTCTAGACTAGAGAGATAGCTGCTTTATTACATCAAGAGTATAACAACTTGGCACTAGAGAAGTAAAAGAATCATTTTATCATTCTAAAGAAATCAACAAAACTTCTACTATATATAACTCTAGAGTTCATAGTTTGTAGGCCATTAATTCTTTTTCTACTATGTTTTATTCAACATACACAATGCACCTTCAAACTTTTCAAAATGCAAAACAAAAAAAAATTAGTCATGAGTCCTACAAAGAAGGCTAGTGAGATTGCTCAGTGGATAAAGGGATTTCCCATCAAGATTGACAAGTTAAGATGGATGCCCTAGCCATACAGTAGAAAGAATTCCCAATGGTTGTGCACTGACTTCTGCTACCATGCTGTGGCAAGCACATACAATACACACACACACACACACACACACACACACACACACACACTGACAGAGAAGAACATACAATTAGTTTCACTATGCATTCAAAAATAAGCTAATGAGAAAAATCACAAAATTAGTAGATTGACTGAGAGAATAAAGAGCATGCTATGAGCATGGAGTTTAGATCCCCAGCACCCATATAAAAAAGCTAATGTGGTAGCACACATCTGTTATCCCAGTACTGGGAAGCAATGCTCCAAGTTCAGTGACTTTGTCACTGTTGGAGAGGGGTGGCTAGAGAGGTGGCTCAGCAGTTAAGAGCACTGGCTGTTCTTCCAGAGGCCCTGGGTTCAATTCCCGGTACATCCATAATGGCACACACACAAGTCTATAACTGTACCCCTATAGAATCTGATGCCTTCTTCTGGTGTGCAGATATATGTAGACATAATACCCATATACATAAAAAATAGTAATAGTAAAGTTGGAGAGCCAAAAAGGAAACCACAACATCAACCTCTGGCAAATGACCACAGGGTTACACATTCACCTACCCACAAAATAAATCTTCAAGATCTTTAGCTTATTCTTACCTTTGGCTGTGGCATGAACCACGGCAGCCTGAGAAATGACTTGATAGGTTTCAAAACTCAAATAAGACAAGGCTGAGAACAAAAGGCCTCTCTTGAAAGGTCTTGTGTTTCCTATTACCTAGAGAAAATAATATATTAAAATTATGAAACTCAGAAATCATGAAGAATTTGCAAACCCAAACAAAACATATCCCTTTTCTCCCACCTCCAGAGCAAGTAATTATAGAATGCTAGGATCAAAAAAAAAAAAAAAAAAAGCT